CTACGACGTAACATAGACTCCGGATTTACCTAAGGAGTTAATAGCCTTGCAGAAATGAATATTTTTTGCATGAGGAGTTATTAGGATATTGAAAAAGTAGAAAAGATCTTAAGTTAATCAATGCAATGTCATCAGCCAGATGCAAGGATCTATACCATGTCTGCATATATTTCTGCTTGTAGCCAGTCCAGCATTGCTGTCTGTGTCTGCTCCTCACCAAATTTGTGTTCTCATCTGAGTCTGATGGTGACCAGTCCTCAGTTGCTGCCATCTCAGAAGGATGTACCAGTCTTCAGCCAGGGCTATACATCTATTAAACAGTACCAGTCTCTGAATTACATTCGTTCTTTCTCTCTTTGTTGTCTCAAAACAGCATAGCTAGCTCAAAACTCAAGAGTGCAGCTAGGATAAAGGTTAGTGACATACTTTGTGCAATTCATCTGTTTGAACAGTCTGGTAATTTGATAACTTTGCAATAAGCTGATAGATTAATCCAGTGTGATCACTGAGAAGGAAATAATTCTGTTTTTAGATGTTTCCACAGCCCAGTACTGTCATGAACACAGATACTGATTTCTGACGGCTGGTGAAATGTATTTTTCGTGTTGTTTGTAGTTGTGTACTTCTATTTGTGTAATTTATTCAGCTTTCTATAATGCAGGACTGTCTGCAAAACTTCCATAAATATGGAACTAAAAATCAGTAGGGATTATGAACAAGGCAAGTGGAATATAATCTTAGTAAAAAATGCGTGGTGATCAGTATTCAGGAAGAGACTCAGGCAGTTTTTCCTGACTTTTGTTACAAGCGCTGCAGAGGAAGAATGTGTATTTTGAAGAATGTGTATTTCGATAATTTCATGCAAAGTTTGTCAGAGCTGCCACTCATTTTTTAGCTTGAGCACCATCTAGTGTGCATGATAAAGATAATTTAAAAAATAGAGAGCCAGTTCATCATAGCACTCGGCAGGGGAAAGTCCTAGCATGTTTTCAGTGTCAAAAGGAAACAAGCACATCAGAGCTGAAGTCCTGTTAACTTTCAGTGACACAAGCTTCAAGTCACTTATGCATTCTCATGAGTTGTCCCCCCCTTTCCCCCTTATTCATTTGTGCCTCACTTAAATACTTGCTTTCACTTCAGATAAATACAAGAAATGAAATGCATAACAACTAAATGTACCTATTTACATGCAGATTAAAAACAATCAATCTTTTTTTTTTTGAAATGTGAATATGTGTTTGCATATTCATGCAAACATGAATGTGGAGTCCTGCACATTGCTGTGAGTTGATACTGCCTGCTCCACCAAATCCCTAGCTTTCAGCTAGCTGTATTTTGGCAGATGGTCTCTAGATCTTGCCCAGACTTGGAATACAGTCAGAGATGAAGTTCTTTCCTGTGTGCCTGGATCAGAGTGGAGTGTATTTATGAGAAGTTCAGTATGCTGTTACTTTTCCTATTAGCATCGCTTCATGCAGCATGCACTCTGTGTCATGCTATGGGAGAGGCCCATCCCTAATCACCATTGCTAATGAACTTCATCCCAGTGTTTGCAATGCATTCTGTTTGCCCCTGTGTTGCAAAGTCCTTCTGTCAGTAACTTCTGCCTTTTTTCTAGTCACCTCACATTCCTCAATTTTGCAGGGTTTAGAAGAGCTGCTGGTGAGCGTTGCTCATTTTCATGCATTCATCACCAGTGATGGTTCTGTCTCTTGCCACAGGATTTCCCAAGATGAGGGAAAGATCTCCTGCTCCCAGAGGTTCTTGTGGATTCCAGGAATTAGAGGTAGTTTAAAAATCAGATGAGATTAAAACCTACCATTTGATTTGAAAAAAGCTTGTGATTTGCTCATCAACCAAATGATTCTTTTGGGAGGGAGAAGGAGAAGAAAGGGGATCTTACAGTGATTTTTTAAACTTTGGGCTTGACAATATATTGATTTTTTTTTTTTACTGTTATTTGGTGAAATACACAGGAACTACCTGACAAGACAGAATTTTTTGAACCAGTGAAAGCCAAATGTGATAAACCACACACACAGAATCAACCTTTTAATAGGACTAAGGAGAAAAAAGTCTTATTTGGGGCATTTCTCTTTCTCCGTTCAAACAAGTAGGAGTATTCTGGAGAGATCACTGACCTCAGTGGGCCCATGTGTTCTAGCAGTTTAAGAGCTCCTTGCTGTCGTATGATGTCCCTGTGCGACACAACTAAACTGAAATACTTGTAACTGAATAATGCTTGTAACTGAAATTTTTAATGATTCATAGCTGTATTTAAATAAAGCTTTTGAAATTGACCTGTCATCCACTGAGTCACTACTCAGACTTCCAGTCTCCAGTGTGGCATGAATTACAAACTTTTCACCAAAGCTATGCATTAAATGAATTTTCAGAATTTATTGTCCGGACAATAAATGATAAAAACTACATTATGCTGAATGACTCTGTTTCCCACTGAAGTTTGAAGCTATTCATCACCTTGCATGTGTGGGAGTTGAATGCTGTACAATCTAGGGAACAGATTTAGTAAACATTCATTTCAGGATGAAACTCTGGAGGGAGTTACCTTCTTTCCCCAAAACACTTTTCTCTTACTTTGGACTATGCTAAATATAGAATATGTAGCCTTTGGGAACCTCTTTAGTCAGAGGAAGTTATCTCAATCTAGTTGTTTGATGCAGTCAGGGGGTGAGGTACTAAGTGGAAAATATAGTGGGCTAAAGGAAAAGGATAGATGGCTCAGTGTAAACTCAGGTGAGCTGGTGGGTAAACCCAGAATGCCTCATAGTCATGAAAATAAACAAAATGTATTGTTAAAACTTGATATTCTACTCTTTCGAATGCTATATTTAAGGTTTGGTAGTTTTCTGATGTTTATTTCTGCTCAGATTGTAGTGTCAATGCTGTTTAATCATTCATAATGGACTAATTCAATGTTTCTATTGAGAAGGAGAATTTATCTGCAAACCAGATGTTGTATCTGATCTGAACTTTCATGGGTAAATTGATTACAAAAACACACAAATGCATACTTTGTCAGAGGCCAGAAAGGGAGCAGGAACTGCTTATTTTCTTTAAGTGGAAATATGGTGAAGAGAGCAACAGCAAAGTGATGTATAAGGGCTGTAAAACTATCAGTATTCAACCTCATGCGCGCATGCACACGTATATCAAAAGACGTACGCCTCCTACATCACTAATACCAAAATTTCAAATGGAGTTGTTGCTGTGTGGTGTGCAGCATGGAAAATGCCACAGACATAAGGGTTAAGCATGGAGTGTCTTGCCTCCAGCGCTACAGGAATTGTTTTCCTTAGCTGAAGCCCACAAAGCAGAAAGAGTTCAATGATGCAGTCTCTTGGAAAGCTCTGCTTCAGTGATTCTCCATTTCTGTGTGCAATTTCTGAAAAGTTTATCATTTAATTTGTAGGTTTTCCAGTTTGTGGTCCACAGTCAGCTATTAAAAAGTTACCTTCATAGAAAAGAACCACCTCCCATTAGCGCTTTACTGGCAATATAGGATTTCCGTATCTCACAGGGGATTTTGCTTTATCACTTGGAATATAGTCTGAGAGCCCTGCCATTCTGCCTTTTCTTCCTGGAATTAGCAAAATTGTAATCTTTGGGATTGTTAAATGGAGTTTCCATTTTGCAAGCAGAGATGTATTAATTTCTCTTCCAAGCATGTAATTTTAAAAGCATGTAGATGTCGCTTAACTCCATTCTTCAACAGTAGTTTTGTAATACTTGAAGGTTGGGACTGTGTTAAGTCTACTGCAAACATAAGTAGGTCCCCCCCCTCCTCTCCAAGAGTTTCTTTAAAAGAGAAAAACTAACTGATAGGTTGCTTCAATCTAATCTTCAACGTAACTGAAGCAACTTGGACCATCAGGTCAAGTGGGATGAGGAGGGGGACATCTGACACCCAAACATGAATTGCAGCCTGAAGCCAGGCAGACCTAACACCACAGCTCTCCGTGCGAGTAGTGATTGTCAGTGCTGGGGCCAGGATCGGTGCTGAGCGCGTGTAACAGTCCCATACGAAATGGTAACATGGAAATGATTAAATTCTTAAAGGCAATGAATGAAGAGGAGAGCTGCCAGCCTGACACCAGTGAATAGGGAAGTCAAACACAACAACACTCCAAGCGCCTTTACCAACACAACTGAAATGGCTTTGAAGGGGATATCCTTAGAGACACAGCATAATACTGTCAGAGTGTTGTCATTTTTCTTTCATTTTGTTTTGTAGAAAAAGTGACAACTGTATCCCGTGACCTTGTCATCTATCCAGAAATGTTTATGTGCTACTGATATCGCCTGTGAAGTGTCCTCAAATATTCAACTATTTCTCCGATCACAAGTGAATACTTCTTTGCACCAGAGCCTGAAGGCTATACACCTGCATATTTGCATTTCCTCACTCTGTAATTAGCTCTTGAGAGCAGTCCCAAGAATACTGAAAACCTTGTTGCTCTTATAAAAATGAAACAGCCAGTCTTATGAGAATTGGTTAGTTTAACAGGCAGGTTTTATTTAAAGACTGTGAGCAGGGAAGTTAAAACCAAATGGGAAGTAGACTAACATTTGGCCTTGGTTATACTGAAAAGCATCCTTTATGGAAAACTCCATCTGCTATTTTTCAAATAGGTCTATTGCATGTTGTGCTTTTAGGTGTAATTTGATTAAACTGTGTTAATCCCTTCCCTGTTCCTGCCTGGTCGTTAATGTGACCAACAGGTTTTTTAGTCTGTATGTCTTATTCCCACAGGTAATTACCTTAACAATCAGTGAGATAACAGAAAACAGACAACAGAACCTGTTCAAACACATCTGTTGTTCGTAGCTCTGCGATGTTCAGAAGAGGCTTTACCCTCAGGAGGTTTGTAACCCAATAGTAGAACTGTGCCTTATAGTATCTCCCCTGCCTGCAAGCCCAACACGGCATTTCAGACTGATACAGCCTCATCAAGAGAGCC